GAGAACTCTCTCTCTTTTGAGTTTGAGCCTGTCCTGCTCATTCCCACATATCATTTTCTCTCTGATTATCCACCATCTTTTTTTTTTTTTTGAGGGACGTAAGCAGGTGCAAACCACCGTCCCTTCCGTCTCTGCTTTGATACGTGCAAACCACCGTCCCTTCCGTCTCTGCTTTGATACCATCCGTCTTGCTACCTTTCCTCACTGCTCTGCTTTCTCGATATTCAAACTTACCTTGATTCTCTGAATTAGCTTAGCTTTTCTTAAGGCAAAGACTCATTTTAACAGTATGAATCAAAGTGTACCTCTCCTTACATAATATATTATGATCTCAAGTCTAAAGATGAGTTACACTCGTCCATAATGAGAACATCTAATGACACATTGACAACTTATCCACGTAGTGTTCTTGTGGCCAGTGGGTGCAGTGCACCTGTGCCAAAACAAGCACCCATATGTATGACTTGAACATCCCTATTCGTGACTAGTGAGATCTATCACTCACTTTATGAGCCATTCCATGTGTTGATCTATGCATCAGTGCTATCCTTTCTCAATAACACTTATGACCAATGACATCTAAGAATAGTGTCATTTTATCTGTAATCATATCCATAAACTGGATTATTCACAAACTCAAATAATTAACTCATAGTGCACACTAACAGATTCAACTTGAAGTCATACAATGATAACATAAGACCATGCATGAGCCACAGAGTATGCATCACTTATTCAAAGAAACATAACAGAGAAAGACAAAACACATACAGAAATATCAAACTTTGTTGAAGGGCTTCAAAGTTACTAATCTTAGTAATGGCTTGAAAAGTAAGTCCCGAATCCCAAATGATTCATCAACAGCCAAATGAATGTGAGAAGTTCTCCGCCCTTACTAGGTTGCTGAGCATGAACATTTGGCCTGCAACTCAGAGCAGCAATGCACATTAATTGTACCCAAACTTTGCTCATTGACTCCCACGGAACACTTTCAGATTTATTCAGCTCTTTTGCAAGCTTAGCAGCAGTAAATAACACTGAATTATTTAGATCGCTCTCTTGCTCCCCGGGGTATGGTTTCAGTTCTTCAATTTTTTTTGTAGGCTTCTTTTCATTTGAGATTGAACTATTGTCTAACAATAACTTGGCCTCTGCCAATGTTCTTTCAAACAATATTTTCCAAGTCACTGATACACCTGCCATCATAGTTGGCTGCATTACCAAAAGGTAAAACATATAATCTGAAAGCAGCTTGCACAACTCCTTGTGGTCCTCGCTCTCTATCCCAGATAGAGGCCCTTGTTCTCCTCCTTCTTCATTCCCAGACGTAGACGTTTGGTCTACTCCTTGGAAGCATAGTTCAGTGGCTATATGCCACGTTAGAACACTTTTCGTGTAATCTAACTCTTCGATGTCGGTCAGATCATAATTGTCAAAGCTACCGAGAACTATTTTACGACTGCATGACCAAACATCCCTGGCCTCCTGTACATTCGAAAACTCTTTTAACATGCCATCATTCAAATGTCTCAACCCCCAAAAAATGAGGTGCCAATAATCTCTGTCCTGGTTGATATTTTTGGAAGATAGACAGAGTAATCCTTTTATTCCTTCCAACAAATGGCTTATCCTTAGAAGATCAGTGAAATCCTTGAACAAAACTAGATGATCATTTAAATAATGAGAAATAAAATTCAACTGGCAAACTGCTGTAGACCACCTGGCCTTCTCGAACAATCTCGGATTCGTACTCTGCATGTGAGCAACCAAAATCCAATCAGAGAAAATGAGCAATATGATCGAAATGAAATCCAACAGCAGGGCCCCTATTAGCAAGCCATAGGTTAGCCAGATGTCAAACTGCTCCAACTTATAATCCTTCTGAAATAATAAGAATGACAACAATGCTCCCAAGATGCAGCACAGATTAATGGACCTGAAAAAGTATCCAATCCTGCAACCAACCACAGGCCACTTGGTGTGGAGAACCTCATACAAGAGGCTTAGTTCAATTTCCAGTATTTGCAACACCTTAGATGGATCGGTTTCCTGGAGAAAGGCTTCTCTGATCTCAGTGGAATGATCTCGAGATAGAAGAGGGCCTACAAGCATCGTCTTGATAGTGCCAAAGTGGTGTGCTGCTGTCCATAAAATTGACTTCGATCGGTCTTTCAAAGTTTCCTTGTCCATATTTTGAAATTCTATTGGAATCGGAAGTTCATCTCCGCATTCGCTATGCACCCAACCATCTCCAAAATGGTCAAAGCTTGCCAGATAAAATGCACGGTTACGTTCAGCATATTTTATTGTTCCTGCCACTGACACTAGTATGGTTGGGAGCCAAAGCTTGTTCTCTGGAAGGGACCTAACGAAGACATAGATAGTAGAACCAACCTGTAATGCGAGCCCAAGCAAGTGCCTAACCCAAAACTCGTTATCTTCGAGAGCAAAAGAAGTGATAGTGTCTGGACCGCCAAGGTGCAACAGGAGAAAGGGTGCCCAGAAGGCGTAGATGTCACTACTTTCGGTAGAACTTTTGATTTGCTTGCTTACGATCAATCCAATTGCAAATTCGGCAACCCAATCAGCTAGCAAGTATGCCAACCAGATCAACCAATGCATATATTTCCCCCATCTCCCACTCGTTTTTCTAAATGGCGCAAACAGAATTAAGAAGACCTGCACTGAGAGGCTTACAATAGTGAATCCTCTAATGTTCCATGTGGCCCATAACTTCTTTGCGTTTTCAAGAACTGGGAGCGCCATTGTCAATTTTTTCGCAGTTCTACGGAAACAAGCATTGAGCAAAGACAATGGAGGTAACAAGTTGGGATGAAAGCGAATGAAATGAAAATATGGGAGGAGGAATAGTGTAGAACGATGGAGCAGCAAGTTTAGTGTTAGACGAATGAAAGTGAAACCCTATGCAATGTATATATAAATTTTAATTGAATAAGTAGCAAGTGTGGTGAAATAAAGTTGTAATCATTTTTTTTAGTAAAATTAAATTCATTCATAAATAATAAGAAATTACAAAGGTTGCAAAACCTACATATATGATATAACACACTAGAGTCATTACATAAGTAACTCTAAAGTGTAAAATACTTGATTAACCATGTGATAATAGAGTAATGTAATGATTTTATGAATATTATAGTGAACTCAGTTTTTGATCAGACAAAAAACCTTTAAGTCAGCATAATCCACCAGAATCAAAAAATGAAAAAATAATTGTTGTGATGGTCTTCTGCTAAAAACATTCCATTGCAACACAGTGCCTTCCAATCTCCTTTCTTACTTCCAACTTCACTAGGAAGGATATAAAATAAAAATAAAAATAAAAATAAAACCTACACAGACTATATCCAAAAAGGTGAACTCCCACGTAAATCAACCTTAAGGAGAGACAATAATCCTTGAAAAAAAACCTAAACAAAAAAAATCATGAAAAGAGAAGAGAGACAATGAATCAAAAGAAAAAAAGAAAAAGAAAAAGGAAAAAAAAAAGGAGGAAGAAATGTGGGAACAAGAAGGAGGAGCGGAGTGACACAACCAAGGTTTCGCTTCCCTCTGTGCAATACAAGGTTATTAGTATTTTTTTAATTCAAAAAAAATGTGGAGATAATTTTTTGTATAATTTTTTATACAATTTCACATACCAATAAATAAATAAATACATTTAATATCACTTGTTTAAAAAAATAAAAAGAGTCAATTATTTTTTTTTCCATTCTTTAAATGACAAGACATGTATTGTGTAAAATCCATTTAATATTAAAACTAAAAATTAATATTAATTTTTATATTTGTTTACAGATAATTATAACAAAAAAAAAAAAATTCTTAGTTTACACTACAAATATATATATATATATATATATATTTGGAGGCCAACTCCCCAAATGACAGACTGTTTTCTATCGACTACTAAACTATTGGGACTACAAGGTTAAGAAGCAACCTATAATTTGAATAAAAAATTGTTGACCACAAAGGGAATTCACTACATGGATAACAGAAAACCAAATGGTTTAGAAACACATGCTAAAGGAAAGTAGTAATATATTAGTGAACTTCAAGCTATAAACTCTTGGGGAAAATGAAAAGTTAAAGTCGTCGGTGATTTCTTGTCTAAATATAACTTTGTCCTATTAAGCCAATAAAATTGATCCCTTTTGTTTCTTAATATTTTCATTTTCTTTCTTAAAAAACAAATTCAAGTTTTTAATTATAAACCACAAAATGAATTCACCATATAG